TCTAATAACAACGGATAATATAAGGCAAACCTTTGAAATTTTTTTTTTATCTTTAAAAAAAATACTGTATTTTTTAACCTTTAGTTCAATTTACGATTTATATTTACACAGTAGGAACATTTATGTCATTTTATTACGTTCTTTACATTGTATATAAAGTATTTATTTAAAACTAATTGTTTAAGATGGGTATTTTCTTAAAATGGAAATTCACTTATTTTTTTTATTTGCAATGTAGAAGTTAAAGATTCAGAACACAGTGGATTATTACAACATGTTAAAGAAGAGTCGTCACAGAAATGGTCCATCAAATACCAAGTCGAGAAAAAATTTTCTTCAGGATCTTTTGAAATGCTTTTGGATAAGTAGAAATCCTAAAGAACTGATTGAGAAGATCAAGAAAGATAAGAAGAGGACTTATGGAGCAAAAGAGGAAGATATTGCTTTTATCTTGGATCAGCTGGAAGAACGAAAAGGAATATCTGGAACAAAAGATAAAGGTTTTTCATATGCTGTTGAAAGATCACAGAAGAAGCATTTGACTACCATGAAAAGTGCAGGAGACACTGCAAATGATCTTAACATTTCACACAGCTCTGCAAGTAGTCATGATAGTAACTCTGACTTAGACTTTGAAGCAGGTATTGACAAAAAAGAATCTGGCTCATCGATTCTCCTTCCTAAAGATATTCTACAGAAAATAGCACTTACTGCAATAGGAGAGGGACTGTCTGCTAGACAGCACACTGCAATTGTGTCCAGTATCATTGCAAACTCTGGAGGTTCTGTATCAAACTTTGTTGTGTCGAGTAAAACATCATTTAGAGCTGTAGAAAAAGTTTTGACCAAAAAAGGAAAGAAGATTAGAAAACAAATTTTTACTCTTGTGCAGTCATCAGTATCCCCAATAATTCTACACTTTGATAGCAAGATTGTTAAAGAATTCACAGATAGGAAAGAATTGCAACATCGTAGACTTGCAGTATTAATTAGGATAAATGGACAGACAGAGCTACTTGGTATTCCACATTTAACTTCAAATAAAGGAGAGGAGCAGAAAACAGCGATTTTGTAACTTCTTAACCAATTTGAGATAACTGACAAGTTTCACGGATGTGTTTTTGATACAACTATTTTTAATACTGGTAAACAGAAAGGAGTATGCATTAAGCTAGCTACAGAGGTTGAAAGGCCTCTACTTCTATTAGCATGCAGACATCATGTGTATGAAAGACACATTGTTCACTGTTGGAACGTCTATCCCAGCAGTAACACAAATGGACCAGACAATCCTTTTTTTAAATGGTTTAAGCTTGTTTAGAACTCTTTGGATCATAATTCTACTGAACTAAACAGAATGAAGATTGAGGATATTACTAACAACTGGTTGCAGGATCAATTCAAGAAAACTTTGGAGTTCTCTGAAAACATTATAAAGATGGAAAAGATAAAGAAAGTCAGTACTTTAAATTATAAATTAATTTTAATGTCATTTAAAGTAGTTTAAACAGCTGTCAAGTAAATAAAAATCCATTAACTGGTAAATCACAGCCTAGAATAATAATAACTTATTTAATGTGAATAGCTCCTGGCGCTTTGCAAAACAAACAGATTATTAGTATCAGATATCAAACTGAAAATCTAAAGGATGAATCTTAATTTTTTATGTGCTATCTGGAGATGTGCAGTACAGACTCCGAAAACCTGGACCTGTAAGTCATGCCCGGTTTTTGATGAAAGAATTATACTTTATGAAGATGTTCCTTCTATTGGATTACAGTCCTAATCTCAAAGCCCATGAGAAGAAAGAAATCAAAGATATGGCCTTCTTCACTGCAGTGTTTTACACTGAATTGTTTCTCAGGGCAGAAATTCCAGCAATTGCTCCCTCTCAGGTTTTTTTACTGTAATTTTTATTTCCTTATTATTCAAAACGTAACAAAGTTTAAATAAAAATAATTCTTTTTAGTATTTTGTTATCTAAGATTATTTTTTAGGATATGAAAGCTCTGTTGCAGATGATAAGGTACTCTGATGTCAAACCTGAGCAGGCAAAACATGTTATTGACTCAATGAAGAGACACACCTGGTACATTGATCCTACCGCTGTTGTAATGGCTTTAGCTGATGAGGAGATCTATAACCGTGGCGAGATTTCTAAAAAGCTGTATTCCATGCCAAGGCCTGAGAATTATGTAGTAAAAAGGCAGCAGGTGGATTTTGAATTGCTAAACAATCTGGACTTTTGTCAGGATAATCCTCCTAGCTTAGTTTTACTGATAAATGAACAGAGTTGGTTCATATTTCATCTTTTGAACCATGGGAAGATAGAGTTACAGTGGTTAAAGACTCCTGTTGAGACATGGAACCTGAATGATTATTATCTGGAGTTTGAACATTTTGTCGAAAATTTGGAAGTAGTTAATGATTGCAGTGAAAGAGCTGTGAAACTCGTTCAGGTACAATTTAAAAAATTATCAAATTTAAACCTATTGTAGAAATTATAAAGGTAATTTCAACAGGCATAACTTATTTTTAACTAGGAGCTGATCAACAAATCCCACAAGGAGAAGAAGAGACAGAACACTTTCCTTGTAGCTAATAAGTTTAAGAGTGGAAGAAAGAGAAAGAAGAAAACTGATTTAGAAAATGTTTTTTTCTAAATATTTGTGCTTTGTTTTTTATGTTCTGGTACTTTATTTTTCTATGTTCTGGCATTATTGAAAGATAACAAATGCTGCTAAACGTCAAATATTGAGAATCAGGTCCGACTGGAAACACCGAAAGCGCTGAAAAAGACCTTATCAAAGAGCAAAAAAGGGCAAAAAATCAACATTTTTTGAAAAATGTAGTTGTTTAATTGATCCATTATTTAAACAAATAAAGCTTAACATTGAATTTCAATTTAATTGTTATGCATAAAATTGTCTAAAAAAATTTATTTTTTTAAAACTGATTCATGGGAAGGGTCCCCGCAACTTGACTAAAAAAAGTCAAGTTGCGGGGCCCCTTCCCATGGAAAAAAAGAAAAAAAGAAAAATGAACTTGGGACCCATTGCGCGGACTGATAGAGTAGCCCAAATGTGATGAAATTTTTTTGATAACAATTTATTAAATGCAGAAACATTACTTGCATTATTATTGCACACAATAGCTCGCACAACAAACCCACTATTATGCAAACGATTCAAAGTTTCAAGAATCTCATTTTTTAACCAATCACCGTCAACTCGTACTACTGGAATAGCTTTTATAATTATGATATGTTTTCCTTAAAACTGTTTATCATAAAAAAAAAAACACTTTTGTAAAGTTCACCAACACTGTTAACACCTGTTATAGTTTCCCTAGAATATTCTGCACATTTCTGTATATTCATTTTATCAAATATTATGCAGACGTCTTGTGACATTTTGCCATTTTTGTGTAATAACTTTGCAGCTTTTAGTGCATCAATGTTACCAGAACAAATTATACTAAATAAAGAAGGGGATGGTAATCGAAATTCTTCTAAAAGTACTTTGTAGGATTGCATAGATATTTAGCGCAATAATAATGCATATCGAAATAAGTTACCAGAGTACATTGGTTTTTCTGATATTTATTTTTTCAAATTCTTCAAAAACTGAGAAATTTTTTTCTGCTTGACTTCTTAAACAAGCAGGAAAGTTTTCAAAAATACTTTTACGAGTTAATATACAATTATGACCATTAAAAAGCCATTTTGGTAATGACACTAAACAACCCTTATAGAATAGTTTAACGTGTAAACTCTCATCAACTCGTATACACTCAATAAGTTCTGGTACTGAAAACTCATTAAACAACATTTTGTAAAATACAATATGATCATCATGTTTTAGCATTTAGTAGCCACTTGGACATGGAAAATCAGCAATAAAGTTTAAATTTTTTATTAAATCACTTTTTAAAAATTCGTTTCTTTGATCATTCTCGTTTATTCGTTTTGATAGAGATTTTCTTTCCAAATTTATTGTTGTTATAGATGATTTCGATATAACACTCGGATGTATAGTTATTACTGGTTTTAAATTCTTTATCAAACACAATCTTTTTTCTTGTTCTCCATATTTTAAATATTTTTCCAAAAAATGTTTTGCACAAATAACTGATGACTTAGTTGGTACCCAGTTTAGTCTATTTTCAAATTTTATCCATTTCGTTCTTAATTCTTTCTGTACAGAAAATGAAAAAACTGGAACCACATCATGCTTAGAATAGTTTGAAAAACAGTCAACATCACAAAATTTGTTAACCATTCTTTATTTTCAATATTACAAGTTTTAATTTATACAGCACCGTTACACTCTTATTCAAAACCTCACTCTAAAATTAGCCTTCTTTTTTTTCAGCAAATATCTAGAATATTAGGCCGCAAACTTTTAGTAGGCGATGATGTAAATTTATATATATATATATATATATATATATATATATATATATATATATATATATATATATATATATATATATATATATATATATATATAATATATATATATATATATATATATATATATATATATATATATATATATATATATATATATATATATATATATATATATATATATATATATATACATATATATATATATATATATATATATATATACATATATATATATATATATGTATATATATATTTATATATATATATATATATATATATATATATATATATATATATATATATATATATATATATATATATTATATATATATATATATATATATATATATATATATATATATATATATATATATATACACATATAGGAACATTAGCATTATCGGGGACATTTTAAATTTTTTTTTGAGTAATTTTAATAATATTTTTTGTTGTATTTACTTTAATTTATTTAATTTTTTTTTGTGGTTCTTGAATTGATTTATGAAATGTTGAAAATGAAATGGAAATTTTTGATAATAGCAGTGTATATTTATTTATACTTAATATCAATTATAAAATCACTTACTTTATAGAATAAACTGTAATCCTAAACGTTGCATTTGTCTTGAAAGTATTGTAAAGATTTGCTATCTAAATAGATTTAAAGTAGTTTTAAACAACTATTTTGATATATTAGTAATTTTATCAACCTAATTATTTTATGATATTGATATGGTATCTTACTATGTAATCAGAACGAAATCTAATACGTTAAAAACTTTCTACATTACATTGGGAAATTTTTTCAAAATTTTTTTTTGATCCTAAATTATAAAACTGCTACTGCGTGTTACTTCCAGTTGTGTTACTATTCTACATACGTATATATATATATGTAATGACAATATTTAATGATTTTTATGTGTGAAAAAATTTACAAAAACAAGTTCAGTTAATTTTAACAAATTTGTTTCTATACTTAAATATTAGAGGTATCATTATGTATTTTGAGGAATTTTACTGGTAAAACATGTGTTTTGATGAAATCTTATTTTTATCTAAAGTTTTTCATTTAACAAATTAACAAATTATCTGGTAAATATAAGGAATACTAGTTAATTAATGGAATTACAAAAGCATTTAATTTCAAATTATAACAACATTTAATTTTTTTTTAACGACTTTTTTTCATCTTTTATAAAACTATAAATAACTATTCTTAATAAATAATAAGAAAAACAAAAATACTCATAAAAAAAAAAAACACAATAAAAATAACTAAAAGCTAACACGCACAAAATATTATCCTTTTTCAATTTCTATGTAAATAATTTAAATCAAATTCGTTTCTTTAAGGTAGTTTTGAAAAAAAATTAAGTTGACATTTTTCAGTTTAATTATCCTAGAATTCATTCCTAAAGTCAGATTTTTTTAAAAAATAAACATAATAGGTTTATTTTAAGTTTTTAGCAAGGTGGTAAAAGATATTTGCTTAGCAACAACCCTTAGCAACAAACGTTATTTATTGGTTTGAACTAGTTTTTTTATATTGACATTTTTGAAAATTGACTTTGAAAAAAATTAAAATTTATTATGATGATTAAGTCTGTTCTATACTGTAGATTAAAACAAATTAAACAAGCTACATTAACTTTCATTGTTATATAACCAATGAATAAATGACAAAACTCTATCATTATGTTTATCTTTCCAAATGAAATGGTTTATTGATTTTAATTCTTTACTTATTTAAAGACAGCTAATATAAAAAGTAATGCGAAGTAAAAAAAATTATTTAGGAGTGAAGAGGACATTCTCTTCGAACAAGTTCCTAAAAGCAACTAAAACCGAAATAGTAACAAGAACTTCACTAAAAAAATCACTAAAAAGCTCAGCAAGTTTAAATTGAATGAAAAACATTGGTCAAAAGATTTTCATTTAATAATGTATATCCTATTCTCAAAGAAATATTAATGTGAGTTGGTGGCTGCCCAGATTGTCAAAATAAAGTTAACCACAAAAATTGAGAAAATAGATTTTCACACAGTTTGAAAATCAAATCTACACCTTGTTCATATGAATGGTGGACTTTTACACTTAATATTGCAGTCAAAAGCACACACAAGAAACACAAATTTTTAATAAAGGCATCAATAACGCAATTGTCTAGGTATATCAAAAATGTGTTAGTGAGGAAATGTATCTTTGACGTTCTTAGGCTATTTTTTATCTTTTAATTTTTAAAATATGGAGCTGAAATTTTTAGCATTTATTGTTTTAAATTAGATCTGGAGATTAAACCCAAATCAAAACATAAGTGTTTTATTTACAGTGTTATTACTCATCGTCCATAATTTTTTAATCAAGACTCCCTAAAAGGTGGTATAAGTTATGATAAATTTTAACAATTGGTCTTTCTACTTGTGCAATGAACTTTTATTTTAGTTCAGGAACTAGATAATATAAGCAAGATTATTTGCGCAAAATTCTAAGAAAAAAATATAGTTTATCTTTAATTTTTCTTGTACTAGTTATCAAAATTTTTTTGATAACTAATAAGTAAATTTTGTCATTGGAACTATTTTACTTCATATTTTGAGGAGTAAAATTTAACTTGACGAAAAAAATTTGTTCACATGTGAGCCACTTTAAAAAATACAGTATCAACGCAGGATTCAAAATGGGCATTGCAACGGTCTGATTATTTGAAGTTTTTGATATTTTTAAGAAGCAGATTGAAACGCGCTTTTTATTAACAAAATAGTTAGGTAATTTGTTAACTAAAAGCTCAAAACTTCAGTTAAAAATGGCAAAATATTTTGTAAAAATTGTCAATATTGAAAAAACCAATACCGTAAAATAATTTTTGATTAATCATCATTATCAAAGTTTTTGAAAGTCAGAAAATTTGAAAAAACAAACAATTTTTTATCTCAAGTTGTAATTTCGAAATTGCTAATTAAACTTTGCATTAAATAAACAATTTAAGAAAAATTATACTTTTCGATAACCCTACGCTAAAAAAGTTATGCTGCATTTTTGATTCAAAAATATAATTTAAAAGATAAAAATATACTTAAAATAAAATATTTAAAGTAAAACTAATATTTTACCGAAGATCTAATTTTTTCCTTTAGGTCTAATGAAGGACGCGACTTCAAATAAAAATAGCTATCATCAAAAAGTTCATCAATAAAAAAAACAACCAAGTTTAAGTCCACTACTAAAAAAAAAATGTAAAAATAAATTGTAAAAATAGAAACAAATTAATTGCTATAACAAACAATATTTAAATTACTTTTGCAACTTTTCAATGGACAAGCTTTGACCTGACTACTGTCTTCATAGCATGACATCCCACCATACTTAGGAGTCGGGTTAGAACAATCACGAGATCTTGTAACTACACCACCACCACATGGTTGAGTACATAATGACCACTCTGACCATTCTGACCAAACTCCATTAACTATATGAATATATATATATATATATATATATATATATATATATATATATATATATATATATATATATATATATATATATATATATATATAATATATATATATATATATATATATATATATATATATATATATATATATATATATATATATATGTATATATATATATATATATATATATATATATAAAATTTATGTAAATAATATATACCGGGGCAAATAATATTATTGGAGCAATCTTCAGTATAATTGCTAATACCCAAACAATCTTGGCCATAATAAGCTGGAATGGGACTGTCACATGTTCTGTATAATGTTACTATACCACCACTGCAAGTTTTTGAACACGCTGATCTCATCCATTCACCCCACTTTCCATACACTAAAAAGTTATATACTTTGATTATTGTGTCAGTCACTTATCTATCAAAAAATAAAAATTAAATACTTAATATGATAATTTATTATCATAAATAGTACAAGAATTAAAATGGTTTTACAAGAGAAGAGATTTGAGTCCCAAAAAATCATAATTTTGTAATACCTATTATAAAGTAATATATTATTTTTTTATTATAAAGTAATATTATTATTATAGTATTATATATTATAGTATTATATTATTAAGTATTATAAAATTATATTATTTTTAATATTAAAAAAAAAACTGTTTTTTTCTTTATACAATTTATTTTCCATAGATGAAAATTCAACTTTATTAATGAGTTTAAAATTTCAAGAAAACGGAAATATACTGAATTTAATTTATTTCTAATTTCTGGAAAATTGAAAGCTGTTAAAAGTTTCTAATGTTATAGAAATTGTTATTTATAATATTAGTAATCATTGTAATGATGCTTTATCTTTATATTATTATTTTCTAATAGTACTTATTTTTTTAGGTTGTACTAATGTTTTTAGGTTGTATTATTTTGTATATATTTTTATTATTATTAATACCGTTACTAGTATTATTGTTATTGTCATTATTGCTGTTAATATTATGATTATTACTATTTTTTTTTAGTAGTTTTCTTTTTATGTAAGTATTACTATTATTGAAGACAACAAGTTAGCTGTTTATTTATTTGTAATTATTTTGTTTTTTGTAACATTTTGTTTGTTTTAGCTTGCATGGTGAACAAAAATAAAATGAACAAAAAATTTCAATGAGCTTTGTTGTTCGTTCTATCATACCTTTTATATTGATTTTTAGGTTTTTTTTATATTAGTTTTTTTTTTTTTTTTTTAAGAAAATGTTGCATGTAAGTTTAAATGTATTTTATAATTATTTATAAAAGTTTTTATAAAAAGATTGAGAGGTTTTTCTTTATTAGGTTATATTATAGTTTGTTTTATATTAGATAAGATTGATTTTACATCTCATAAGTTAAATGTCAAATTTGAGAACAGTTTTTTAGATTCATTTTAATTAAAATTTGCAAAGAACTATCAACATAAATAAAAGAATCAAACTTAACACAAAGTGCAAAACGTATGAAAGTAGCTCAGCTAATGATCTATAAAGACCTTTCAAGATGTTTTGCAACAAAATTTTATTATTTCAAGATTTTTGTTAGGAACGAGATGATGTTGCAGCTATAAAATTCAATTTTATGCAAAATCAACCATTTCCGAACATACCTATACAAACTTTTTTTGTTTTTCACAACGATGGGTTCACTATTTTGGTATCAAGAATATAAAAACAGGCAAATCGATATTTTACATTAATCACAAAGACATTGCTAAATGTTGATGTACAATATTAAACATAATATTGGGTCAAATAATAAGAATTTATATCTATTTCCGTTGGCTGCTCCGTTTTAAATAAAAATAATAGATTGTAGAAATATATATTTGCTTTGGCTGGCTGTAACAGGTTTGAAAAAGTTTATTAGTATTATCCCATACGTGGTCATTAGTTTTTACCAAATGACTGTAACTTTAGAGTCATAAAAATAATGTTCGAAAGCATGATCTACGTCCTAAGAGAATAACACATTGATTTTGTTTCGAACTCAGCTATAAACTTACAGTCATAGAGCTGAAAACTGATCATGTTTTGGAATTTAAAAAATGGTGGCCAAATTTGTACAAAAAAATATGTTTATTAACTAAATCTAATGGAAAAAAAATCTGAAAAGAACAGAAAAATACATTCGCACCATTGACATAAAAGAGTTTTCAGTATAATTCAGATAGGAAAGATATATCATAACCAAGAAATATATTGAAGGGTTAATTAAAAAATAATTTTCATTAATAAAACAACTAATGAATTCAGTTTCACTTTCATCAGCCGAGGTTTATGAAATTAAAGTGCCAATCAACCAAAAAAACTATTTTTTTAAGAAAAATTAAAGCATAGCATTCTGGAAGAGCAAATGCCATTTTATAACAACAAGCCAAGATTTTTTTCATTATTTATAATAAAAACTGCTATGGTAATTTGCTATTTAAATTTTGTACCACTCAAATACTAAATTAGGCATTAAAAAATCTTATAAAAGTAATTTTTTTGTGCATAAAAAAGTTTTTTCTGAATCCAATAATATTTTTTTAAAAATCATTCACTAAAGTTATATAGTTGAAGATATCATCAAAAAAATGTAACGTGAATAAGTTAGATGTTTGTTTTTCTACATATCTGTTGATAATGCAAGATGTTAGACTATTTTTATAAAAACATTTATCACCCCAACATACTCTTTACATCAATCAAAAAGTCGCCTAGAAATAGCTTGCCTTTGCTTAGGTTTATAGCCTGGTGCTAACAAATTTAAAACGTTTACCATTTCGTTTTTTCAAAAGGATCCAAATTGCGAGTCTTCAATCACGCAGTAAAATAAAACCTTTTCTATTTCTCTCTTCTGCGTTAAAGAAGTTAAGCTAGATCTCAAACTAGTGCATTTATAACTAAAATTCAGTTAAAATTGGAACTGAACACTTTTATATTTTATGACGCTTCAATGGGAAATGATTGAAAAGTTTCAGGATAAAAGGTCAACTTTAATTTATAGTGATATTATATTTTTAATATTATGTAAAAACCTAATGAAAGCTAATAAATTTTAATAACTTTCAATTTTCTAGAAATTTGAAATAAATTGAATTCAGCCTGTTTCGACTTCCCTAAAATTTAAAACTCATTAATAAAGTTGAATTTTCATTTATGGCAAATAATTTGTATAAAAAAAAAACAGTTTCTTTTTAATATTAAAAAAAATGACTTATCAAAAAGTTTCCACTTTTTCACATGGAAAGCGAAATCGAACATTACAAGTTCAAATAAAGAACAGTGTGAGAATATGTAGACAATGTTTTCTACTAATGCCCAATATATATATATATATATATATATATATATATATATATATATATATATATATATATATATATATATATATATATATATATAAATATATATATATATATATATATATATATATATATATATATAAATATATATATATATATATATATTTTACAATTAAGTTACATATATATATATATATATATATATATATATATATATATATATATATATATATATATATATATATATATATATATATATATATATATACATTAGAATTGATATATATATATATATATATATATATATATATATATATATATATATATATATATATATATATATATATATACATTAGAATTGAACAGAACAACTTTACATAAAGAGAATTTTCTAAAGGAAGTTTTACAAAAATTCCTATACTACCCATGTTTATTTTTGACATCATCAAATTAAAAACGTCGCAACAAAGAGAGACCAGCAACACATAATTTTTTACTATGTCAATGCGGCCATCAATAATTTGTTAAACATCGAAGCCATTGAATCGTTTGCATTGAGGAAGGTATACCGTCGCGAAAAAAACTTTTCAACTTCCATGAATTTAAATGGTGCATCTAAAACTCGTTTATTATTACTTGTCAGTAATTTTGCTTTCAATTGTTGTAAGGTCGCTTTGACGCTAAAAAGACGTTTATGTATTGACCAACCGTTGATTTAAAATCTATAAACATTTACGTTTATTAAGGTCAATTAAAGGTTTACAATATTGACTAATGTAAGTCGATATTCTAAACGGTAGATCGATGTTTTGTAAACGTTTATATATAAAAAGTTTCAAATATACATTTCAAATTAAGCATCAATTTTTAGTCAATGATAGGTCACAAATTATTATCTATACTTTAGCAATTCTAAAGCCTCTGTTGATATATCGCAAGTAATACTTTTAAAAAGTTTTTTTTTCTTTATAATAATGTTTTCTTTAAATACAAAAAAAAACGTAATAGTATCTTTATGAAGTGTTTTTTGCCACTTTAATATTTGAAAATTATATCCCTTATATTATATATAGGTATATTTCTTTTCAACTTTAAAATCGTCAATTGCGCCTAGTCGTCGAATCTTATAAAAACACTAATCAAATTTTTTAACATTTAAGGGTTGGTTTTAAGAAAACTAAATAAATTAATGTTTGTCTTATATTTTTGTTTTCCATAACTAGCATTTTTACACATTGGTATTCAGCAGTAACACCCTCTAACACCACTTTCTTGTTATTTAGGACAAATGTTTGTGAAACCAATATAAACCTACTCTTCTGCAACTGCAAAACTTACATCTACACTTTTTATTATTTTTACTTTATTATTTTAATTTTCATTGCAAGGCGTATCGTTTCACAGGTATAATAAAACAATCATGCTTATTATAAGTGTTTCATCATACCTGTGAAACTACACGCCTTGTTTTTGTTTTTGGCGAATTGTGCATCCATATGCACAGCACGAAATAACCATAATTCTGCAATTTTTTAAAAAAAGAATTTGCTTCAAAAAATTTAACATTTAAATCTTTTTGAAAACAAATGAATCATACATCCCTATGTAACGTATTCAGAATTTAATATATTTGCCGTACCGCAAAATGGCAGAGGCTGGCTTCACTTTTCAACTTAAAATATGCATCTAGTTATATTTAAACGCTATTGGTTAAAACTGTTATTTTTTAATTATATTTAAAATAAAATAGTTTTGAAAAATTATTAATAAATAAAATTAAAAAACATCAAATATTTTTTTCAATAACTAATATAGATAAAACAATTTTTAATTTTACATATAGTAATGAATAAATAAAAAATTTATTCATCAATTGTCACCAGTAGTTGATAACAATAATACAGTTCTTTATAGCATGTTAAAAGAATATTATAATGACTTCTGTATATATAAAAGTATATATATGAAATATATATGAAATATAAATGAATTTGATTATATTATATATATATATATATATATATATAATATATATATATATATATATATATATATATATATATATATATATATATATTTTTTATATATATATATATATTATATATATATATATATATATATATATATATATATATATATATATATATATATATATATATATATATATATATATATATATATATATGTATACATATATATATATATATATATATATATATATATATATATATATATATATATATATATATATATATATATATATATATATATATATATACATATATATATATATATATATATATATATATATATATATATATATATATATATATATATATATATATATATATATATATATATATATGTATATATATATATATATATATATATATATATATATATATATATATATATATATATATATATATATATATATATATGTATATATATATATAATACTATATATATAAAGTATATATATAAAATATAATCAAGCATTTGTGAAACATTATGTTCAATGTGGAGATCGTAACAAAATTACATTTTTTCTCAAATGCCTTTATACAAACATATTGTTATTATTTATTTTGAAAAATCTTTTGAAATATTGTATTATGTATAAACATAATTTAAATTTTTAACTGTACTTATATTTTTAATGTTTTCTATAATTATATTTTTAGTAAATTTTGTCATCATTTGCATCAATGGTAAAGTGTTTCAAGATTGTGTTTAACAAATAACTTACTACTTTTTTTTATTTTTTATTTAAATGTTTATTTTAAAACTACAAAGTATTTACAAGTAATTAATCACAGATTGGCGGTAAAGATAAGCAAACATAAATATCAAAAACATAAAGTACGAAATATACGAAGTAAACAAAAATATAGTTGCATACAACTCCGAGACACGGTTAAAATAAACACTAATTACAACAATGCAGTTATGTGTACGTAAAAATAATCCGATAAATATCTCTATTTTTTTAAAGTTAAAATAAAATAAATAAAAATAAACTGGCTTATTTTTTTGGAGAAGTGTTTAAATGTTTGACTATAAATTTATTTACCACATTTCAAACTAATGTTTGTTTATAAATATAATAAAAACGAAATTAGTGAAAGATTGATAAGAAAAATTACTTGTTAGTAGTTATAGGAAAGCAAAAGACTTAAGTCAGTCTTGTCATCGAGTATCATTTTCTGGTCGTGTAATACACATAAAAATAGTTGGATAGGTGGTACATATGAATGTTGTACATATATACCTTGTTATTAATATATATATTTTTTTATCGATTTATATTAAAAGTTAACCTACATTTTTTTTAGTTTTTTTTATTGATATTAAAAAAAAATTCTTTATAGTTGTTTAATTTGATTATTGTAGATTTTAGCTTTATTTTCAGAGAGTGTTCGTTGTTTAGGTTTTTCTATATTAGGTGTTGGTAGGTTCAGGGGTATTTTTTTAATTTGTTGTTTAGAGTGAAATAGTATATACTTAGTTTTTTCTATATTGAGTGACGACTTTTTGGATTTAAACCATATACTAGTTTTATTTAGTTCAGCATTTATTTTTTCAAAAAGGTATTCAAATGTCTTTGCTGAGTAAAATGAGTTTGTGTCGTCGGCAAACATTAAAGTTTTAAAGATATTAGAGGTATTTGGAGGATCGCTTGTATAAATAAGAAACAAAAGAGGAGCAAGAATGAAACCTTGGGGTACACCACGTTTTGTTACTCAGTGAACTTGAGTTGCTTTTTTTACCTATAATAACACACTGTTGTCTGTTATTTAGGTAATTTTTAAACCAATTTAAAGCTTGATTTTTTAAGTTTTTTATTTTTTCCAGTAAAATCTCGTAGTTGACGGTGCCAAATGCTTTTGACAAATCAACAAAGACCCCTAATGTGATTTTTTTTTAAAATGATCTACTGATTCTATTTTATAGGTCAAGGATTGCATGCTCAGTTGAGTGTAGCTTTTGAAAACCATATTGACCTTTATTGATAATTTTGTTCGTTTTAAATACTCATGTAAGTTATTATAGATTATTTTTTCAAGAAGTTTTGAGAATACCAAAAGGATTGAGATTGGTCTGAAATTGTTTTGAGAATGCCAAAAGGATTGAGATTGGTCTGTAACTGTAAAAGAATTGGTTTTTCCTGACTTATAGATTGGTATAATTTTTAAATTTTTAGTTTATCAGATACAATACCTGTTGTAACAGATGAATTAAATACTTGAAAAATTGGATTACGTATCTCCTTAAAAACATCTAACACTTTGCAAGAGATATCATCAATCTACTTCAAATTCCTCTTGATTTATTTCATTGAAATTTAAAGAGTAGTGTGAGCCTGTTAAGTAACTTTTAAATGTATTTTTTGTGCATTGAATTTTTGATGCAAGATCAGCATTAATGTTAGCAAGGTAGTCGTTAAATTCATTTGAAATATCCCGCTTGTTATTTGATTCTTTTTCATTAATTATTACTCTAGAAGGCATTTTGTTAAAATTAGATTTACTTTTACATATTATTTCCTTCATAATGTTCCATGAATTTTTTAAGTCTTATTTAAATTTTTGTATTTGATTAGAGTAATATATAGTTTTATGTGTGTTTTTTTTTAATTTTTACAAATTTGTAGATGCATAGGTTCGCTTTGTTTCTATTTTTTAAGTATTTTACGTGTAGTTTTTGACTTTGTTTTGAGGATTTTCTTATTTTTTTATTTGTTATCCATGGACAATTTAAACATTTTGCTTTTATTTCTTTTTCTTGAATTGAAAAACTTTTATTTTATTGTGCGATAAATAAGTTTATAAAGTTGATGTACGCAGAGTTTGTGTTACCAAGATTACATACTTGCTAGACCTTTTGCCAAATGTTGCCGATAGCAAGCCCTTAAGTTTTTGAGTAGACGCTTCATCGATTATTCTTTAAGAACATAAGAATTTTGAATTATTAATTTTTGTGGAATTTTGTGACAATTTTATGGCATATAAAAACCTTTTTTTAAGCATGTTTACAAACCCAAAACTTAAAATTTCATTAAAAAAAAAATTAAAAAAGTTGCTTATTTAAAAAGGTTAGAAGGAAAAACAGAATATGGGTAGTAGTTTTAAACAAAGAGTCAATTTTTTGCTATTGTAAAAATATATTTATTGAATTTTTGTAGAACATAAATACATAATACAACATGATTAAAACTAATTAAAAATTATTTAAAACTTTTTTTGATACCTGGACAATGTCTTACGACACAAGATTCAATTAATTCAAACATATTTAATGTCAGACTCAAGGTATGACTGGTTTTATAACCTTTTCCACATGATGCAGAGCATTCACTCCACTCACTCCATTCAAACCCTTCTAAAAAAAAAAAAAATTATAACACTCTAATTGCATTTCAATGAAAAAGTTTTTACAAGCTTGTTTGTAATAGCTTGCATACGCTTGCCATCTAGATGTAAATAAATTTATTAGCCTTTTGATTTTTGATTTCAAAATTTATTTTTATTTAATTGAAAGACTCACTATAAAAAGCTCCTTATTTCTGTAAAATATTAAAGTCTATTTTTAAAATGTTTTATGTATATTTTAGTTTACAGAAGATATAAGTTCTTTTACTTTACATTTCACATTATTTAATTTAGTAAATTTTGTCATCATTTGCATCAATGGTAAAGTGTTTCAAGATTGTGAGTAACAAATAACTAACTACTTTTTTTTATTTATTTAAATGTTTATTTTAAAACTACAAAGTTTTTACAAGTAATTAATCACAGATTGGCGGTAAAGATAAGCAAACATAAATATCATAAACATAAAGTAAGAAATATAGAAGTAAACAAAAATATAGTTGCATGCAACTCCGAGACACGATTAAAATAAACACTAATTACAACAATGCAGTAACGTGTACGTAAAAATAATCCGATAAATATCTCTATTTTATTAAAGTTAAAATAAAATAAATAAAAATAAACTAGCCTATTTTTTGGAGAAGTGTTTAAATGTTTGACTATAAGTTTATTTACCACATTTCAAACTAATGTTTGTTTATAAATATAATAAAAACGAAATTAGTGTAAGATTGATAAGAAAAATTACTTGTTAGTAGTTATAGGAAAGCAGAAGACTTAAGTCAGTCTTGTCATCGAGTATCTTTTTCTTGACGTGTAATACACATAAAAATACGTGGTACATATGAATGTTGTACATATATACCTTGTTATTAATATATATATATATATTTTTTATCTATTTATATTAAAAGTTAACCTACATTGAAAGACTCACTATAAAAAGCTCCTTATTTCTGAAAAATATCAAAGTCTATTTTTAAAATGTTTTATGTATTTTTAGTTTACAGAAGATATAGGTTCTTTTACTTCACATTTCACATTATTTAATTTAAAAATATGTTTGAATTTGCAACAAATATTTCATTAACAGTTTTAAAAATGTCCTCTATTTAAAAAAGAGTAACCTATGTAATTAAATAACCTAATTACACGTTTGTCTTTATGTTAACGAGAAATCAAAAAAATAATTGAAAACAAATGTTAAATATTTGACATCAAAATTTTGCCATATATGATTTATTGGCTATTTAAAAAATTAAATATATATATATATAATTTTGTCGGAGCTGTTGTTTTTTAGGACTCTAAAATAAAATTTTAACTTTTAAACGTTTTAAACTTTCAATCGCCTCAAATTTTTTAACGTATTAAAGTACATGAGTCTATATTATAATGAGTAAAATATAAGTAATGTTTATAAAAGTAAATATATTTAAATTTTATAAATTTTATTTTTGTTGTTGTTGTAATTTTGCAAAACTATTAGCGTTATGCAGCGTTGTCAAGAATTTTTAATAAACATTAGGAAATATTTTTTTAGAATAAGTATTTAACGTTACGGCAAATGATAAAATAGATAAAAATTTTAGCATGTTGACTTGTTCTAAAAAACGTAAACCAAAATTTGTCAGTTTAATTACTTATTACAATTTTTTTATCAAAAAGACTTATTCGCCAATAGTATATAATAAGTAAATTTTTCCAACTTTCAACTTTTGTTTTGAATTATAAAACAACTAATTTATTCAATCTAACTTATTTAGTTAAAAAAAATAACTTTTTTAAATTCTCAAAACTCTCGCAAATAATCATATAAAATGAAGCTTGATGTCAAATAATATTTTGCTTCTAGTTAATATTTAGTTGCCTTGGAGCAAATGAGCATTTTTTATTCTTACATTTTATAAATTCTTTTGTACCCTATTATACTTTATAATATTCTTATTTTAAAAGAAGCAGTGAAAGAGTTTTAAAAAAATCAAATAATGTAAATTAAATAAATGCGATCAGAAATCTAAGCAAAAAATTTTTAATCATTAGATTATTTAAAGCCATAGTTTAATTTTCAATTTTTTTAGTTAGTTTATATAACCTTAATTTAGTAAAGTTTTTTGTAAGTATATATAAAATACATGATGTATCACGATGAATTCTTTCTCTGTGATTTGCTCTTGGTGGGATTGTGATGAGGGGAAAGTGCCAGTTAATTATGTCAATGTTATTAACAACTTTGTATTTTTGGATAAGGTCACCTCGTTTGCAACGTTTAACTAGAGTAGATGGGCCAAGTTGTAAGCATCTGGACTTGTAGTCTAACTTTTTCAGTTTGTCTGGTATTTTTGTGGCTCTGCATTGTATTAGATTATTATTTTGTTTATCCTTCACCAAATGAGGGTTCCAAGCTGGAGTTGCAAACTCAAGTAAAGAATGGACGTAGGTGGAGTAAAGTTGTTTCCATAAAGAAGCATTACGAGACTGAAAAGTGTGTTTTAGAATGCCTAGCATTTTATTTGCTTTACATGAGGCAATGATGGATTGAGTTTCTACTTTAATGTCATTAATAATTTAAATTCCCAAGTCACGCTCAGAGGTGTTTGTTGAGAGTTGATAACAAAATTCATATTATTATGATTGGTAAGAGTGTGTTCATGTGGAACGCATTAGAACTCGTGCGTGTGAGTAAGATATTGTAGTAAGTTATGTTTGTTTATGTCATACAAGTTGTAAATATGTATGTTATTATAATAAATCTTAAATACAAATAAAATAAGAGTTAGTAGAAATATATTTAAAATAGTGAACACAACAGTTGGCGACGAAGATCAAATTATGGCAACAATAGTTAATAATTTACCTGGAGTAGAACAGTTTATTATAAATCAAAACGATACAACTAATTTAGACAAACGGTGGGAAACATGGAAAGAAGATTTTGAGTTATATCTAGTTGCAACTGGAGTCACGCAAGACGCGCAAAAAAAGGCGTTACTTCTGCATCTAGCAGGGAACGATGTAAAAGAAATCTATAAAACTTTGAAAGGAACTGACACCGATCAATACAAGGCAATGTGTAATAAACTGGATCAATATTTCAGTCCGAGAAAGAATACATCATACAAACGTTACGTCTTTACGAGGATCAAACAAAATGAAGGTGAAAGTACAGTGAGTTTTATTACGCGATTAAAAAAAACAAGCGAAGTATTGTGCCTTTCCAAATGTTACAGAGACAGTGAAAGATCAGATCATATCATCGTGTTATTCTTTAAAATTAAAACAAAAACTCCTTAAAGATAGAGAAATAAATCTCAAGAAATGTATTGAGATTGGTCGAAACATGGAAGTGTCAGAACAACAGACAAAAGAAATGTCTTATAAAAAAAAAAATGTATGCCCAGAGGAAATCGACGTAGTAGATCATTTAGAAAAACAAACTTTTTTCCGAAGAAGAAAACAAACGACAAAAATTAAATCGAGACCTAGTCGAAATGATAATATAGACAAAAAAGAAAATAACTTGTTATGTTTCCGATGTGGGGAGAAGTACTTTGTTGGCCACAAAATGATTGCAAAGCTATGGGAAAAATGTGTTTCAAATGTCAAAAGAAAAATCATTTAGCTATTTATTGCCGAAGTACTCTACAACCGTTGTATAGGAGAAACCGACAAGTTAATGAAATAAATAACAAAGCTAAAATAGAACACAACTCTAACAAAAAGAAAATGAATCAGAAGAAACGCTTGCCCTGACATGTAGTTTAACTCATGAAAAGACAATCTAATAAAACAAAAACAATAAATGTAATAGTAGAAAATGTCACGATTAAAATGATTATTGACTCAGGTTCCAGTGTGAACTTAATCAATAAAAATACCTTTGAAAGAATTGGAAGAAACAATCCTAATTTGATAATCAAGAAATCATCAACAACTATCTTTCCATATGCTTCGAAGCCTTTAAAATTAATAGGTTGTTTCAAAGCTGAAATTGAAGCTAAAAACAAAATCACTACAAACAATATATATATATATATATATATATATATATATATCGTAGATAAAAATAATGTTGGAAATATAATGGGAATTGAAACTGCTAAGGAATTGAATATTTTAAAAATTGCAGAAAGTGTTAAGTTTGCGAATAATAAAGAACACTATATGAATTCAGTGGATAATAAGTCAGTTGAAGCTGTACAGCGCTCTTACGTGTGTAAAAACATTGATGATAAAATCAAACTTCCAACAAATCAAAATGATAATAGTTTTGAGCAAATTGATTCAAATTGTAAAGTCACTTTAAAATTTAAAAACAATTTGACAAAGTTAATTGCAAAATACGAAGATATATAAGAAGGACATGATAAATTAAAAATTTTTTAATGCAAACTTTATGTAGACAAAAACATACAACCAGTTGCGCAAAATTTGCGTCGTTATCCTAATCAAATCGTCGTTATCCTAATCAACTCATCGTTAAAATCTTGGTTTGATTCAGTTCAAAAACAAAAAGGAATAAATGTTTTATTAATGCTGGCGTCAAAGACTCGGTTTGCTGGTAATGCTATAACACTTGGAACTGTATTATCTAACAAACAAGTGTTTAAACAAATGGCTATAGATATTCATCCTGGAAACCCGAAATTCTCTTTGAAACTTGAGTCAAAAGAATTAATATTAAAAGATTCATTTTAGCAAAGCCTTGAGCATACTTGTAAGTTTTTTAAAAAGGTTTTGTATTGGATTACAGTTTTAGAAGCAGAAGAAGCAGTATTGAGTATAGTCTGCTTGGCTATATCGGATATAAAATTAGCCCTTGATAACTTTATATCTGAAACAGGGTTGACAGATTTAGAATGTGTGGAAATGCAAAATTATTTTACGTTAAGAAAAGAAATATCTGTCACAAACCTTCACTTAGCTGCAAACTTGCTTGATCCGCAAATAAAAGGTTCAATCCTATCTGGTTCAGAATTTTTGGAAGCAATGGAATATACAGAAATG